TTGACTTTGGTGTTACCATGGAGGTAATAATCGTATTACCTCCATGGTGTTACTATACTACTATACTGTCTATGGTTAAACAGGGCCCAAATTGATAGGGAGTAAAACACGGAAGTGGAAGAGCTGTCCATGCATTGACCAATCACACAAGAGCTCACAAACACCAAAGAAATATTTGTTGTTGTACTTAACAAAGGGATTTGGCACTAAAAACAATGGAACGTTTATAGGCTTAACGTTGGATTTAGATCGTGTTATAATCCAAATCCCCTACTAAGACTTGTAAGCACAAGTTTTTTTTTAAATTTGTTTCTCATATCATTTGCATATTGAAAAGGTGGATGCTATACAAGGTTTACAAGAGATACTCGTGAATTCGACCCGGACTTCCTTGACAACCCGAATGATTACAACACATTTTTAAATTTAGTTTACGTAACAGCAACTTTACGTGTTGTGTTACGTAACAACCGCGTATGCCTTCGGGCTATGCATATCATTAACGAGTTCACACAAATAACGCGATGTTGTGCTAGTTGCTGACCTGCAACATCACTTGACTTCAGCCACGTAAACCAGACTTTAGTGGCCTAATCGTCAAAATAAATTAGTATGCTTCCGCGAGCCCAGGAAATAAGCATGATGACACGTTACACGTTCTTGGTACTCTGGTGCGAAAGGGACATTATACAATTAAAACGATATCTTGTATCATGAGATGCCCGGGGTTCTCACTTTTGATTTTAGGTGGAAGCGCAGCCGGTTGAAATCTGGGCCCAAAAAGAACGACGTTGCTTTTCATCTAAAAAAAATCTTCCCCAATAAAAACGTATAATTGAACGAACCTGTTAACTATCAAAACATCGAGGAATGTTAGGATTTAAGGAGATGTTCAACAAACAAGCAAGTTTCGATTTTGTTTTGTTCACTACGTCGAACAGTGAATAATTTATGGCGACCACCATATGTTCGATGCTGTTTTATGCGAGGGACGTCGTCGATCGTACTTAGTCCAATATCGTGCAGTGTTATCAAATAAACGCCACACAAATCACGGAACACCCGTTTAATATGCCCAAGAATAAAAGCCCGAAAGCGAGGAATTGCGATAAAAATACAAAAAAAAAAACACACGGCAAGAAAAATATGTTTTCAGGGACAGTGTGTTTTTTGTTTTGTTTTTAAATTCGAATAAATCATTATTTTCTAATATATTATACCGAACGAACACGAATTTGTAACAAATCATCATAAGTCATATACAAGTGAAATATTTCAATATCGTATGTTGTTGTCTGATTTAAGGGACCTGGGCAATTAAAAAGCAATTTCAAGTATTTTGGATCAACTTGAATATGGTAAGCAAGTGGGTATGTGTGTTTAATTACTAGTAATGCGTACAATTAATACAATACGCATGCCGACTTTCTCACCGCCTAAATGGACAAGCACCAGTGCCGTCACGGTGGCCGTGGCAAATCTAACAATTGTCAGAAAACTTACCCTTTGCAAAGATTGTCCGACACGTTAGGCACACACGTCGCGCGAAACGGTGCCCGAAGTGGCCTTGAGAACGTGGAGTAACACTTTTGTTTAGGTCACGTGTGTTTTGGGACGTGCTCAGGCTAGCAACAAGGCCGAACCAAAAATGAGGGCTGTACCAGGGTAAAAATAAGTATCGATCCGACGTTGGGTGAGTGTGCCACAACACAAAGGAGGTGAAAGGGTGTTTACACTATTGGCCGAAATACATTCATTTGCATATGCGACTTCGATGAACCCTGGATAATTGTCGGAACGTGTTGGTAACTCAGTTCAATCACGTACGCAGTTCCCGCATGTGTTTTCTGCAACAAAATACACTATAATATACAAGTAACTCTTGTGTCAAATGTTTCAATGACCGTTCCAATGCTTGAAACTGTCTCCCGGTGCAGCAATATTATTTTTTTTAACGTAAAACAACGTCAACAGCAGCTATTTACTAATAATTGCTATGAACAGTTTGTTTGCATTGCAGCTAGCTGTCCAGTGTATGAATTCATTCCACACTCGCGATCATTTTTTGTTTGTAGTTGTGTTCAAGTATAAACAAGGGGTTGTCAATTTCAATTATTCAACATTACGACATCGACCCTGAGGCTCACCCCGTCTCCCATCCCCAGACAATATTCAAGACAAACACAGAAGGCAATAATATGGAACACTAAAATAGAATGATAATAAACAAACTACCCCTATTTGATGAATTCGCAACTCGATCTACTTATAGTACTTAGCGTCTGTCTTACCTCCAAACTGAGCGCTCACGTGGCGTACTCAAAAGTCCGAATCGCCGTGGTCATAAACAAAGCAATCGAATAAATTTCAAATCGTGAAACCAGCATGTACAGGTTATAACACGAACATTCTGTGGTGCGGAAAACGATTAAGACATTTGATACTTCTATTTTAGAATACCGCCAGCGCGGCAGACACCACGCCAAAGGTCACCAGTCGATCATATACTAGTACTTCGTGTTGCATAAAATGTCGATAATAAATTCATATGTTCGTCGTATTTACCTTTGAATAACAATTTCCGATGAACAGTTTACATGCCCTAATTTAATAATTTTCGCACGTTTCATCCTGATGATATTATTATTTTTAAGTGACCTATTTACCTATTTTATCAATAAATTTCGGTTTTAAAACAATGGCATATTAATATATAACATATTAATAATATTTACAATTTAAATTTATATGTACGTCATTTCCGGGTTTAGAATTTCCACCAATAGAATTGCCCGACGGTGATAGATTTAATAATGTCGCTGTGTGTGAAATATGCATTTTTGTCGCTATTTATCACCCAACTCTGTATGACCCCACTTTTTTTTATTTCCATCGAAAACCCATCAAGTCAGCGTTTAAAATATGGCCATATGGTGGCAATTGATAGCGACCTGTTCGACAATCCCGTAAAATTAAACGTACAATAGAACGCACTTGTTGCTGCAATCGTCACGTTGTTTGCGCCATCTATTTATATATAACTTCACTGCGTACTAAAATACATGTAAACCTGCATATATAATATTATTGTGCACTGTAAATTCAGCTCAAGGCTTAGGCGAGGGCGATTCCATTTGGATGGAGGCGTGTCGCCATGGAAAGCTTTGAATATCTCGTAACCAAATGCAACTAGTCTTGGGGTACTGTTTACCAACACAGACGAATAAGTTACAGATCCGATGTTCAAGTAATGTTGTAAGATGTTAACAGGCGTGCATTGTACACGACAACGACGGACAAATTACGACTTTTTACGCGTTATCTATTATTACGTTTTAACATCGATAGTTCATTCAGAAGGAATCTGGATAAAAAAACAAATATGTTGATTATACTGCAGGTTTTCAAAGTCAAAGTCGTGAAATGCACTAACAACAACGTTTTCTGTCCGCATTTGAGATGGTGATTTGTATTCTGAAGCCATTATTTTGACAACATATGCATAGAACATCAGCATCATAGTGTGTGTTGTAATATGGTGGTTGTGATAATTAAAGTCTCATAATAATTCCACTTTTATAGGCGGACGGTAGTCCTAATAATAGTTATGTAAATTAGTTATAAATACCATAGGTAAGATAATTACTACAGATCACGCAGGGCAAAATGGCTGCTCCACATATTATTCGTAACAGACTTCAGACACAAACTGAAATAAAGCGGGAGGGCTGTCACCTGCGCACGCGCGGGAATTGAGTCCCAAGCGACGATAACAACACATTCTAAAAACGCAAAGGCTCATAGGTAGACGCTTGTTTGTAAACAATGACACACCATGGCCATCTGACGCATGTGCAGGTGACGACTCTCCCGCTTTAAGTTTAAAAGAGCCTTGTTTTTGCCACTCAAGTAGTGCCCCAGTGTTATTTCATACAATTAGATATTAGTTTTAGTATATAGCATTTTGCGACAGCTGCCAGGGTACGACTCTCCCCTATAAATAAGACGTACGTATTTCAGTTGAGCTTCGATCCACAGAATGAACGCAGAAAGAGAGAACTTAGCTACACGTTCAAGAATATGCCTATTAGAATTCATTTAGTTAGAAGACATGCGTCCATGATTCTCCAAGCTATAATACAACAATAGTTTTATGTATACCTATAAGAACAATGAACCGATGTTTCTACCCCCGATCGCGATTCGATTCAGTGTGTCATCTTTGTATGTGAGGTAAAAGCAATGACAACACCATGGACATAAAATCACTTGCGCCAAAAATCCGCAATAAATTTGAACTAAGAATACCATGAAAGAGGAAAACGTAATACGACAGTTGACTGTCACGTGATCGGGCAGACGGGTTTCCTTTATTCGAACACAACTAATCAGTATTGCGGATTGGGTAGCTGGATGAGATGCAGCGAGAAAGAAGGGACAATTCTGCATGCGAACAATCTATTGCGATTGTTTTACACAGTGACAAACTTCGTGAAATATTGCCACAATAATAAACGTACTGTCGAACAAAAATTACGCGATGAAAACAACAATGAATGGTGGAATTGACATTTTAAAATTAAAGTTCTTACGTAGCGCACGTGTACGCAACAATCTTCGTGACGCATGCGCATCGTGTTCTATATGGGTTCCAAGCGACGCGTACAACGCATGCAAAATACATTGTTTGTTTACATGAAATTCGAGCATGCGCTGTGCGGCGACAACAGCGCTTTAATTAAAACTGTCAATGACTCGATGTTACACTCAATTGAATCACACGGCCATACCCAGTGACGTAACCGTGAAATCAATGATGCAACTCGGATTGAATCAATAAATGGTGCGAGTACAATTAGTTTATAATTTACC